GGCTTCCCCCCCACACCCCAAAGAACAAGATGGAGAGAGAAGTCGGTGCTGTTTCTGTGCCAGCCCATCTGTTTTTCTTTGGATAATCAGGAAAAAAATTGAGTCAAGGGTGGTACAAAAATATATTGGAAACTTTTAAAGTAATCCAGAGAAACCTGCTACAACCTTGTTTTTAGGGTGGGCTTAAATATGACAATTATGATTAACAGGATGTTTCTGAGGCTTAAAATTAAAATTATCTTTCAGAAGCCTATACACATTCTGAATGCCATTTTAGTAAAAGAAATAGCCAGACTATAGATAGCATTGATTTCTTTACTTCTTACAGAGTTAAGCACGGTATTTCAAACCACCTTGTATGCTCATACTGAGGTAAGCACTGCAAGTTTTGAGGTATCTAATTTGGATAGTCACAGAGAAAAGGCCATTACTGTCTCTTAAAAGCAGAGATAGTAAAGCTGTTGCAGCTCCACTTCTGTGTGTAAAGCTGTACCAAGCTCAGTAGCAAAGAGGAAAACGATCTAATGGGGAATACTTTCAGCAGAAGTTAATGTTGAGAGAGATGATTTTGCCAGGGCAGCCCTTCAGCAGCTATCAGTGGAGATACTGAGTATGAGTCCATGTACGCTGAAGCAGCTGCAGGCATCCTTACAGGAGTACAAAACCACTTTCTCAATATACACGTAACGAAATGTGTTTTCAGAAAAAGAAAAAAATGGAATTTGTGTCCCAGTACAGAGCTGAAGTGGAGGTAATCACGTTATCTCTTCACTTGCGCATCTCTCTCCAATATCAAGTTAAAGGATTATGGTTGGTAGGACCTGCAATAAAAGCATTTGGTGTTTGTTTGTTTTCTTTTTAATCCTATAAGGAATATTGAAAAGCTTTCCAAAATTTTCCAGTTGGAAACCTGTTGTTTCACCTCTGTGCTGCATGTTGGCGTGTGCCAGTTGTGAGCTGGGAAGCATGTAGAAACGTAAGAGTGGAAAACACGGTGGCTCTGAAACAAGTTCAGAATCCATAAACAGCGTTTCAAGCTGCTGCTTTTAGAGCGTTTTCCTGCAGAGATGCTATTACAAAATACTCTGGATTTGATGAAAACGGCACATTTCATTGTAACTTTTTGAAGCATCTCTGATGGCAGTGCAGGAATACTGGCTTGAGTGTGCAAACGCCACGCTCGTGTACCCGCGGCGCTCCCTCAGACGTGCTCTGCAGAGTGGTTTTGCGTGGCACGCAAACATCTGCACACCCACACAGCCTAACCGCGAAGAGTCGAAGCTGCGTAAGGAGCATATGGCTGGGTTTACTTATCTTCGGCTCATTTGCCAGCCAAACTGTAGCAGTAATCAGAAGTTTGGTAATCTGTCGTGTGTAAGCAAGACAGGTTCGTTCTTTTTCTCCTTTCAGAACTAATCTATCTAAGAAATAGCAAATTTTTTGTCCAGTTCCTGAAGTTTTGTTCAGCTAAACCTTTGGTCTCAGTACTTTGGAATTTTAAGACATTTATATGATACTGGCATTTAAATGATTACGTTGGAACTGGAGCGTGGCACAAGTGATAGTATTTAGGAGGCAATACATACAGAATGGCCTAATATCTTGATGCATTTTGAATGCTTTAGAGGTCTAGATTTTATATTAACTTATTTGGCAGATTTAGGAGAATAAAAAAATTAACTCCAACCTGCAGCAAACAGGTGGGTACCTTTAGCCTGTTAAAAAAAAAAAAAAGGCATGAAAACCTAAAGATCACTGATAAAACCTGGATCTTAGGGTGGTCTAGCAGTTACTTAATTTTATTTTGTTTGAAATTAGAAACTGTCTAGCTATTCATTCCAGCTAAGGACTAACTAGTTGTCAGGCTCCTTGCTCTTAGACCCAGTGATGTCCCAGGGGTGCAGTCACAGCTGTGCTCCAGGACATGAGCAGAAGGTTTGTGGGTGGAGAGCTTTCCTTCCAGAGACACTGATGAGTCGAAAAGGATGTGGCTTTTCTTTATAGACCTCTCTTGACTTTCATCTCCTGTGTTGAGCTTTTTAGGACTTGCCTGTGATTTCAAGCTCACCTGGTTGGTGTGTGTGAAATGATCCAGCCCCGTGCCCACGGCAGCCGTGCCAGCCCAGAGCATGGACCGGCATGGAGAGGGAGTGCTCCTGCCAGCAGCACGGCTGCTGGGTCAGGTTGGAGGGGTTGTGGAGGAGCAGCGGGGAGCTGCTGCGCTTTTCCCTGGGGAGAGCTGTCCCTGCAGAGAAAGGGAGATAATTCGGATGGCTGCATGGGTGTAGCTGTTAGGGTGAAAAGATCTCTCCAGCTGTGCTGCAAATATGCGCAGACCCTAAAGAAGGGCTTGTGGGCACCTGGGGCGTACGTCTTCAAGAAAGCTGCCCAGCAAGTCCTGGTGTGCTCCCCTCTCTGCAGAATTTGGACAAGGAGGTTGTGCTTGGCTGAGTCTTTCCTACCAGCCTTTCTGCAGGTGTTTTATCTTGCCACACACAGGCTGTCAGAGAACCCCTGAGCACCTCAGATCGGGGTTCCCAAGATGGAATATGCTCAGCGTTGGTGGAAGCAGCTCCTTGCTCTTGGAAGGTGTCCCTGCACTTCTCTGAAACGCTCTGAGAAGTGCTGGTAGCATGCACATCATTTGGGAGCCTCTGGGGTGGGAAATATCTTTGCCTGCTCCTGGGGTGCATTAGGGAGCCCCAGGCTGTGAGGATGGGATTCAGGGTGGCCCCAGCAGCCCACAGGGACCATGGCTGGGGACCATTGCAGTCCATTATCCTACCAGCCGCTCTCGCGGGTGCTGGATTATGTCTACATAATGTATGAAATATAATCAAAAGGATTGTTCCAAAAAGTGATGTAAAGATGGCAGAGCACACGCTGAACAAACACGCCTAAAGATGGTGCTGAGCGTAATGTCACAGCCAGCTTTCCTCTTGGCTGATGGAATCGCTATTTTATATTTATGCTCATTTGGGAGATCTATAAATGAATAAAAAAAAAATAATCAGACAGCTGTAGATGAGTTTTACTAATCCACAAATTCATTATTCAAGCATCTAAAAATACCTGGTCCTTGCTGAAAGTAGAGGATGATACTACAGGAGAAGTGGCTGTTACTGGTGATGTCTCATTTACGTGGAAAATTGTTGATGCCTTATGGTATGAATAAGGCCAAGATTCCCCCCCTCGAAACAAGCAGCATACAGTGTGGTTATTTAGCTTGATGTAAGTAGACAGATCAGAAAATATATAAATGCCTAATGGTAATATTTCTCATTACTCAATTGCCCCAGGCCAGAGGGGCTGGGAGGCTCCGATGCGTCCAAATGAGCTTTGCAAAGGGACAGTTCTTAAGGCTTCTCTTCATCTACATCAGGGCGATGACAAGTAAATGTGAATTCAGATGCCCTAGTAACGCTTGATAAAGCATGTTAGTGAAGGTGAAAAGTGACAGCCAAACCCAAAAATATTCTCAAGTTAGAAAATTCACCACGATGTGGTTGGCGGTGGGAGGAGAAACTTGCGGTACCGTGACTGTCCCCAGATGGAATCAGCAAATTCTGTTATGTATGTGTGTTTTTAGGGTCGTTCAATAGAAGAAAAAGAAATTCCCTCTACGTAACTGTGACTCTCCTCATTGTGTCAGTATTAATTCTAACGGTGGGCCTAGCTGCTACAACAAGAACCCAAAATGTGACTGTTGGAGGTTATTACCCAGGGGTTATTGTAAGTATAGAACTCCTAGGTAGGTCTAGAAAACTTATTGCCTACGAAGTCCCTTGTAATTGCTGCGAATGTTATAAAGGGTGATCGTGTCCTGAATATTATGCTCAGCTACTTCATTGCCATTTGATTTATTTGTTTCATTGTTATTTTGCACCTGCTGCTCATTCCCATGCAAAAATCCCATCCAAGCGGCAGCTTCCTGTGAGCTTAGGTAATAACATGCTTTTGAGCTAACGGTGAGACAGATAAATAGGTCTTACGTCAGTCAAAGCAACCTTCGACCCTCTTTGTTTGCATACATCACATTAACCCCAGGCTGAAGTAAGGCAAAGAAGGACCATAGATGCCAAGAACAGTTGAGAGAAAAGGTCTCGAAATATTGTTCACGTGGACTCGTGGTCATAAAGTTCACTTGCAGAAGCGTTTAACGATTTGGAGTCCCTGAATGAGGAGAGGCACATTAGCAACGGCCGTGGCAGCTTGCCAGGGGAGCGTGCACATCAAAGCAGCTAGCACATCCATTTCTTCTTTTTTGTTATCAACAGATGAAAATGGGAAAGGACAATCTTAGAGCTTCAAATGGCTTAATTTAGAGAAGACCACTGGTGCCCAGCCTTCTTGCCGCTAGATGTATAACCTCCTGCAAGGAGCATAAGGGACAAGTACATGTGGCCCTCCCGGCACGAGCAGAGGTCTGACACAAGCTGGAAATCAAGTCCTGGTCTGTTCCTGTGCGTCTGAGACACGCTCAAAAAGAAGCACAAGCAGGACTGCGCTGCGGTCCAGTGAGGTGTGCTGGCAGCGTAACTGCAGCCCCGCGGCTAGAGGCTCCGGCTGTAACTGCTGTGCATTTAGGTTTGGAGCCTCAAAGTTGGAGGCTTAAAGCCAGCCCAGATAAGTAGGTGGAGACTTGTTCTTGCCTTAGTGTGGTTTGATTTATTTGCCACACGTTGCTGATCTCAGGGAGGTTTATACTTCTCTGCGGACAAGCTCTTCCGTGACTGAAGAAATCTCCTTTCCAGCCATTAGTGTGGAACGTTGTTACAGACTGTTGGGCCTCTTCAGCTTAGGATTGGTTTTCTGGCTTGTCCTCGTAACTCCTGCATTTAGGCCTGATCTTTTTTAGAGAGAAGTATAGAAGAAAGGTGTTGAGAAAGGTGACAGGCTGGCTTCAAACTCTCCGCACTTAGCCTACGCTCTGTCAGCCCGAGTTGAACCTCGTGCTTCAGAGCAGGTCCTGCAGACTGATGCAGATGGGTAGAGCCTGTTGTTCACGTCTCCTTGACATCTCCCGTTCTATTTATGCTCCAGGAACGTCAGCATCGCTTACGCTTTTGTAAGACTCAATCTACTCAAGGAATTAATGAATTCCTGGACTTGGGAAGGGCCTTGAGTTACTTTATTCGGAGGCACCCTGACAGTTTGTGTTTGTCACCAAATTCCCCTTCTCAGTTATTCGTTAATCCGCTGTGTGGAAATGTGTGATGACCTCGTCTGTCTCTCTGCACAGGAAAACATTTCAGTGTGCTGCTGGATGCTTCAGCAGGTGCTTAAAATAGCTGATGTTTCGTAACAAGCTGCAATTTCTCCCTTTTTTTGTGGAAAAAGGGCTTGCCGTGGTGCATGAGTACTCGGTGAGTTGTCCCCGAGCGGGTGGCTTCCACAGCCCTGAAGAAGCAGCTCCTTGGAGGTCTTGTCATCCAGAACTTCACATGACTGTTAGGCCTGTGTGCATCTCCATCAGGGGTTTCTGTGCAGCATTAGTGGTGTACCACCATTAGTTGTGCCCTGCATTGGTAAGGAAAAGATAGAGCCAGAAGTCTCTTTGTGTGCTGGGGGACTTCTCCATGTGTGGACCAGATCTGTGGATGGGATCATCTCGTGGGACATCAGATGTCTCATTGCTGCCATGCCTAATGCACCATTCTTTCCTGCTTTAACTTGTATGCCTTGGGCAAACGCTTCTCGTGCAAGGAGGAAACGTGCAAAGAAGTGGCTGTCTGATGTGGGGGATTATCTTCTGCTCCTGAGGAAGGACAGAACAGGGCACTGGATACCTTCCACGCATCAGTGGGATTTTGTTTGGTGGGGTTTTTGGTGTTGGGTTTCTTTCATAAACAGTGCAGTTCCTCATTGACACAACTGGAGGAGCTGAAGGTGAGGGTGCGATGACACGTCCTGTAGCCAGGCTGCCTTCACCCTCCTCCATGACCACCGACACCTTCACGACTACACCGTGAAGCCACCCGGCTGTGCCTCTGTGGGAAATATCGTCACCTGTGGCCGGATGACTGACCTGGGCCTGGGAAGCCCAGAGTGTAACAGTGATGCTCAGCAGACAAGAGTAACGATCAGGTGCAGAGGGAAGCACCCTTATGGAAGTGAAGCTCTGTGAGATACATGTGTTGTCTCCAAGTTACACCAGCTTCCAGCATCTGTGGAAATAACTGCCCTTTCTCCAGCTTTGACTGGCAAACCTCTTCTGTAACGGTCCTTGTCAAGCATGTTGGCCCGGAGCTTTACTCTGGAAAAGGATGTTTGTTTTGGGTCCTGTCCTCCTTTCAGACAGACATCCCAGGGGATCATATCCAACAGCAAATAAGTGATGCGATTGATGCAGATTACTAAGATCTCTTTGTCCCATCTGTAGAAGGAGGAGTGTTTTTTCCCATTAATGCAATGAGAATTTCCATTAATTAATGAGAATCCACTGATTTATTTGGTCTTCACCTGTTGGATGTACAAACTTGCTCTAATTTCTTCTTCTTGAATTATCTTAAGTAGTTTACCTTTTGGTTTGAGGCTGCTCTGAAACACCACGTGGACATTTCTCTTAAACACGTTGAATCAAGCTCAAAGGGCGCAGAATGTTTTCCTTGAGCATTTGCCTTAGGTGTGTGTTGCCCTGCAGCTTCCTTGCTGCCAAACATCACCAGACGGAAAATAATACCTGGATCTCCCAGGTTTTAGGCTTGGAATTGAGCTGTAGAACTCCTGTTACTTGGGGAAGGTTGGGGTTGTTGCCTTGCCCAAGCTGAGCAAAATAATAAGCCCAGAAGCACTGGCAGATCAGTTTGGGGCAGTTCAGCAGTGCCCCCAGCTCTCTGCCCTGCCTGCCTGCCGCCCCAGTGTTAAGCAGCGCCTGGCTTCGTTGCTCTGCTTCCCACCATGGTAGTTTGTCCCTGATGTGGGGACAACGGTCTCCGAGAGCTCAAGGGTGCGAGGCGGACAGCTGGGAAGCAGCAGCCTGATCGGCCGCTCCGCTTTAATCCCTGCCGTTTGAGTCAGCAGCCCTCGCTGCCCGCGGCGCTGCACCAAATGTTACTGAGCTGAAGCAGGGAAAGATTTAAGCCCAACTTTTTGTCACGTTTGTGCCTGCTAATCTCTGCATGTGCCTCTGCTTGTTAGTAGCAGATTTAAACGATTGTTTTCTATTCCTGGATCTTAAAATATTGATTCCAGGTTATTTGACTCATTCTTGAATCACTGCAGCTTGTATCATGCCTTATTCTACTTCCCGAGGAGCTGGCCAGGTATTTGACGTTCTCACTCAGGATTTTCACCACCCCCCTAATCTATTGAGTGGGTTTGTACCTGCTTAATATGACCAGTCCAACTGTAGGACTTTTCTGGCATTTCTCATTTTGCCAACCCATAGAAGTGGAGTTGGATATGCTCTACACTGATCAAAGACCTTTCTCGGTGTGACACAGAAGTACTTCTGCATCTCCCCCCATGGTCTGTAAATAGAAACTTCTATTTAGTGTAGCTAAATAGCCTAAGGCTGTGGAGAAAGGTGGGAAATCGCCCTCCTGGCTGACTTTACTGAGCTGAAATAACAACGGTGGTGTCAGTTATGGCAGTAAGAAAAGATGCTTTGCAGGAGTAGTTCATTCTGCTGGCTGGACTGGCATGAGCTCTTCTGGTAGAAGACCCTGGTTGATGCATCCTCACCCCTGGAAATGAGGGAGGAGTAGAAGGCGGCAGGAAACTGCTAAATCTTGCCGAGTGTAATTCTCTCTTATTACATACTTCACATCAAGAAACTCTGAGTTGAAAACTTCAGGTGATTGCTCACACCCTTGGTGAGGTTACAAGAGCCTCGTCCTGCGGACGCTAGTGAGATGTGGTCCTGCTAGGTTTGCATCTGGAGGCTCCGGAGAGTTTGTAGGGTTGTTCCAGAACGGCAATGCATATCCTCATCCACCAGCCATTTCTCAGCGTCACTGCGGAGGGGATGGAATTCAGAGCTCATCCTTTTGGTTTCTGCACACGCTTTTAGTGTCATAGAAAGGATACGCTTGATAGTTCCTCCTAGTGAGAGACTCCACTGATTCCTTGCTGAAGGAAGAGTGCTCACAGATCCGCAGTATGTTCTTTTGCTGCTTCTGGATTTAATTGTCTTCTGTCTGTATGTAAAATATGTTGGATATTGTCCTGATCTAAATGCTAACAATATGTTGTTTTTCAGCTTGGTTTTGGGTCGTTTCTTGGAATAATTGGATCAAACTTGATAGAAAACAAAAGGCAAATGGTAAGTTCATTATAAAAACTTTTTTTAAAAAAAGACAGTAACTCAAATTTTGTCTGTGAAGAGTGTTACTGGTTTTCCTAACTTTTCCAGGGTAGTGTTGCATACCTCTTGAGGACTAGAGGTGGTTTCTGGCAGCCTAGGAGAACAAGGCTGTTAACCCTGATATTTTTAAATTAAATTAAAAAAAAAATGTTCAAGGAAGCACAAAGTGACTATACACAGTCTCAGTGAACTCAGTGTGATTTTTTTTTTTTTTTTTTTTTTTGGTCAAGGGATTGAAATTGAGTGTTTGGAGTTTTCAGGATACTCAGTGCTTGACAGACTCATGTCCAGTGCTTTTTCTGTTGAGCTGTCACAGTATGTGATACATAATATGGTTAATAACATAAACCTAACATATTTATTTTAAATCTTTTAAAATATATTTCTAGAGACTTGGGGCTCTGCAAAAATTGCTTTTGGCCACTTTCTATTCTAAACAAAGGATAGAGGAAAAGATCGAGCAGGTGGTGGAACTGGCAACCCGGAGACTGGAGGTGAAAACCTGTACAGGGCCCAGCAGAAAGTCCTTCCTGAGGACAGGAGCGCTCAGAGCTCGCTGCTCTAGATATGTTTAGAGAATAAATCACTTGAGATAGGAACATGACGAAAAGCATGAAGACTGGTGTAATTGAAAAGCAGCCAGAGTTGCTGATTACATGTATGTTGCTGGTCCTTGTTTCCAAATGCTTCTTTAAGTGGGAAGAAAAACCGAGAGACTTTGCATGCTGTAAAGCTGCTGTTGGGGACCTGAGAAGCACAGAAGATGCTGGCTAGACCAGATGTGTGGACCACAGCGTGCTCTGGTTCCTTCCTTGCGCTGCAAGGAGGCTTTTGTGTGGTGGGGCTGGGCAGCCGCTGTCTAGGCAGGTCTCTGGTGCCCATCCTGTGGGAGCAATGTTCAGAAGAGAGCAGGTGGGCAGCGAACATGCGGATAGCACAAACCTGAGGAGACCAGTGCTGCTGATACGAAACGATCACAACTGAGCTTGTGCTGGGGTGGGAGGGGGTCTCTCTGTGCAGTAGGGACAGAGCTGGCCCACGTTACCCGCTTTGGCAAGCACAGGAGACTTGTGTGGACATGGCTGGGTCTCTGATGGCCCCTAAACATGTCTTGCAGATGCTGTTTCACAATCCCCTCATCTTCCTGCCTGTGCCTGAAAGTAGGGGCTGTAGTGCTTGGAGGTGTCAGTAACAGGGCTTAGGGTGGGGGGGAGGCTTTAGGGAGAATGTAGCAGAAGGTAGAGAGAGATCAGAAGAAGCTGGTACGCAATGCAGTCCCAGCAGGCTGTTCAGTGCAATCTTTCCTAGCTTGTTTTCTCTGCTTGCCACATGTGGCCGGCTACAGGTGGTACGTGGGGAGGTCCGGTCCAGCTCCCGGAGCACCCCTGGCCATGCCTGCCTCCGCTTGGCTCTCCCAGGAGCGCGGCTGCACCCCCCCTCCCCAGGGGTTGATCCCGGTCTGGCAGCGAGGTCCCTCCAGCCTTCCTGGTGGGAGGTCACGCAGGGCCAAGGGGGGATCGTGCCGTCCCTGCAGCCTGTCCTGCTGGCCCAGCGCTGCTGCCTGCTTCTGCAGGGATGGAGCTTCCTCGGGGCGGGGGGGTGGGGACGGGACGGCGCAGGGATCAGATTAGCAGGGTGTGCTGCTCACCAAGGCTAAGGCACGGTTTGCCAAGCCGCGGAGGGAGTCGGGAGAAATTCCTGCTTGTCCTCATGCAGAGGCTGGACTGGGCCGCCTCGCCCTTGGCTTTGCAAATAGCTGCTCCCTGCAGAGCAGGAGGGAGAGGGTGAGACAGACCCTGCAGGAGAGGAAAACTGCCTTTCCCACAGTCAGACAGGCTGCAGGGCAGGTGGGTTTCCTAGGATATATTTTTCATTATCGCTCTGGCTCTGCAAGAGCAACATATCCTGTTCTTTCTGTCCCAGCTGGGTTTCCAAGCCTCTTGCTCAACAGGTATTAGCACCATGCCAGGGTCTGGTTGAGCAATGACCATGTTATGCCAGTCCTGCGTTCTTCGCAGGAGTGCCCATGAGCGACAGCGTGGCTCTGACTTGACTCGTTTGTTTATTCTGAAGAGCCCTGGGTAGCCCATGTTTATTCTTTTCATCTTTCTAGCATTTTGTGTCCTAAAAAGCACGCGTGACCCAGCTTTGAAGGAATTGCATCGCTGCTGCCTCGGTTGGCGGCTGGTGTGTCTCTGCGCTGACCACAGAGAGGACGCGCAGTAGCTGTCACTTACTGTCCCCGTGCTTTAGTCACATCTCCTCCTTGCCCAGGAGCACTTGACAGTGGCAGCTTTATGTTTCCATAATACCACTGGCAGCGCAGGATTGTTTTTTTATTTTCTGTGAACTTCCCAGTGTCCTAGTTTGCTAAAAGGCAGTCTTGGTGCTGCTTGTTATGTGGTTGCTCCTCAGTGGTGGCAGGAAGAGCTAAAAGCAACTGCTGCTGCCATGTTCTCATGCGTGTTTCTGCCCATAAGCTGCCTGAGGAGTCGACCCAGCCAGCGTGGCGGATGGGGAGAGCTAACCTGAAGCAGCACTCCGTACTTCTCTCCGGCCCGCCGGCAGGAATAGACCTCTCTTGTTTTTCCCACACAAGCGTATCGGCTTTCATGCCGTGTGTCTGCACTTCCCACTTGTCAAAGTAAAGGGGAGCTTTCCCCCCCCCCGGGAGGGCCAGCTGCCCAGCAGCGCTGCCTGCACTGACTGACACCCCCGCTGCCCGCTCAGCAGTTTTCAAGCAAAGAGTCAGCGTTTTACGTGCCTTTGTGACAGTCATCCGTGCCACGGAAAAGTTATAACCAACGGCTTCACGGCCCGTGTGTTGCTGGACCGTGGCCTAAAGGGAACCAGGACACTCCTGCTTCGTGGTTTCCACACTATCCGAACCCAGTTTGTCTTTTCTCGTCCGAGTGCTGCTCGGCGTGGCCGACTTCAGCGGGAGTTAGGTGAGCGAAGCCCAATCGCTGATATCACACGGCTCTCGAGAGGGACTTCTGCTTGCTGCAGTAACAGTATTGTCAACCCCAAATCAAAAATCTTGTTGGCAAATCATGAGATTAATTGAATACCTTGGGATTTGTAAAATGAATTTGTTTGGTTTTATTTGCTGTTTGATTTTCTTTATTGTAAAATCTCAGTGTTTGGTTTTCAAGCTTTTATTTCTCCAGCTGAGAGAGAGGAAACTGTGTGTAAATAAGGTGAGCAAACCCATTTCTAACATCAGATTCTTATATCCAAGTAGTGCTGTTATGAAAGTATCATCATTAACCTTGTATTATTTTAAATAACCATATTAGCAGCCCCTATCTGCAAGCAGGGGTGACCGACAAATGCCCTAATTGTATATATTTAGTGTTTGGCTCACTTCCCATCTCCGAGGGTCATGCTGCCTAGGGAGCATATCCTCTTTCATGTATGTATGAAACAAAGGACAGTACAGAGAAAAACTAAACTTGCTACAAAATAACCGTAGCCATAAACCCCATTTCTTGCACTGAGACTGTGGGTAGCTGTGCTTTCTCCCCGTGCGTTGCGGTGGCGCTGACTGCTGTACTGGGTAGCGCAAACTCGGATCCAGATGTGGAGATGCTGCGGGTCTGAGTGGGGGGGAAATGCTGGTGTTTACAGCTGGGAGAAACAGGGTCCCAACCTGGGACCTGATCCTGGAAAACTTGTCACCTGCTGCCACCTGCAAGTACTTTGTGGCACAGCATCTAATATCCCAGTGACAGCTTGTTACTAGTGACGGAGGCTTGTTTGCACGGTCACTGGGTTAATTCCCTGGTCTGCTCTGTCTACTGCCGCAGTTTTTATTTGTGGTAGGACAGTGTACGTCTTGAATGCTTGCCTCATCTAGAAAACTATATTATTTTCTCTCATTTTGAAGCTAACTGAAGCATGCAATTGTACAGGGACCTTTTTCACTGTCCCACGCGAGCCCTCCTGCATCTCCGCTCATTGCTCGAGCTGACCTGGTCTGCATGTGGATGTTGCTGGAGGAAGGTCTGTTTTCACTGAGGGAGATGTAAAAACAATGTGATTAACCTAAAAATCTTGAGATACTTTAAAAATATTTATAGGATCCTTCTGGCTTGTGTTTGTCAAGGGGTTTGGCTTGTCTTTCTGAGAATTGGATCTTTGTGGAAATAAGGTTTTCAAGCAAACTTAGCACCTGGAGCTTTGAAACAAACATCCCCATGGCAGGAGACCCAAGATACCTGTCAGCGCTGGCCAAGCTAGTGGTTATTTTTGTATTTGTGCTATTAGTGATTTATTTTTTTTTACTATTGCTCAAAGCTCCCGATGACCAGAGTCACCTTTGTACTTGTGGAGAAGCAGCTTTTAACAGCTGCCAGCGACCGACGCTTGAAGGCTGTGATCGCTGGAGTGGTAAACCAGCAGGGAAAAACCCGCTAAAGCTTTCAGTTCTTTAAATGGAAATACTGCTGTTCCACAAGCTACGTCTCTGTGAACCTGTGTAAATGCCATGCTTGCCCTCCCTCCGCGGCCCTGTCGATACCCCCAGTGTGCTTGGCCGAGGAGGATTGGGGTTGGTACTGGGAGCACTGGTGCACAGTTCCCCCAGCTGAGCGCTGGCACTCTGGCAGAGGTGGTGTTTAAATGGCGTAGTGGGAGTAGGGACTTTGTTTCTCGTACCTGGGTTGGGGTTTGAGTATTTCTGGTTTACCTTCTGAATGCTTTCACCCTAATTTTAAGAATGGGCTGGATGGGACCAGTGGAAGAGGATCGGACCTGTCTGCCGTCCCTCCCTAAGCTGAACGTGGAGATCTCTCTCCTTGCAGCTCCCCCAAGCCAAGGGGAGGCTCCGGGGGCTGTTCTTGCCACCACCCGGCTCTGAGGAGCCCGGGCAGGCTGCTGTGAGGGTCTACAACGCCGCTGGTGTAGGCCGGTCACGCGTCTTCTGGTCTCATGGCTTTGTGCTCATGCCTGCATGAAAGCGTTGTTTCCTGGAGGTGCAGTCCCACCAGAGAGGTTCACGTACAGCAATCTCCTGCGTCCTTACAGCCTGGGAAGTGTTCACAGGAGCAGCTCCCCAGAGCGCTCCACGATGGGGAGAGAAGAAATCCCCTCCTTTCTCTCCAGGGAAGAGTTAAGGGCAGAAGCAGCTACAAGAGGAGGTGTATCCTCAGCCTAAGTTTAGCACTTTGGAGTCATGGAAAAACTTGCTTTACAGTATCAAGTCCCCAGAGAACCAGACCGGCACAACGCTGCTACTCCTGCTGCCTTGCAGGAGCAGACGCTCTCTTTGGAGACGCGCATCCCGTTGCCTTCATTGAGACCAGTCTGTGCAGCCTGGGCAAACATTTGGGTCATTGATTGCTTGAGGGCTTATTGACTGTGGGTTACGTATCCGTGTGGACAGGGCACGAAACGCTTGGTGGTGGAGAAGCAGATGATACTTTGCTTTGTTTTCCTTTCTCAGCTGGTCGCATCGATCGTCTTCATCAGTTTTGGCGTCATTGCTGCGTTCTGCTGTGCCATAGTAGACGGTGTCTTTGCTGCCAGACACATAGTAAGTGCTTCCAGGAAAACACGGCTCCTGCAATACTTTTACTCTAGGAAAACAAGCGATGGTGTCAGTAATTGCGTATCAGGCCACATCAAACCCTGTAAATATATGTCGTGTGCTCAATGCTGGTTTAAATCATACGTTTTTCTAAAGTTTATCAGTTTTTCAGAAATAGTTTGAAATTAGCAGCGAGCATTAAGATCTTAAAACTTTGCTTTAGTTTTTTGTGTATGCTTTCTGTGTTTACTGAGTCTCAGACTCTAAGAGGTAATGTGAATTACAGCTATTGCCAAGGGACAATGTATGAGCAGTAACATCTGTCGTATTTTAAACGTTAGCAGAGGTAGTTCTTAATGCTGATTGAATCACTGGATGTTGTAGGAGAATGGAGCAATTTGATACGAAGCTCCTTAAAGCATTACAGTATAACAGGAGGCACTTGCAGTAGGTTCTCAGTTCCCATTCGATGACTTAAAAAAATTACGAGCTACTGTTCTTGTGACCAAGCGCTACTACAGTGGCATGTGCAAAAGCTTCAGTTATTAATACAGGAAAAAAAAACCCTTACAAATCCATTTCAGCTTTTTAATTGAAATTTATAATTGCAAACAGACTTTTGTCCTGCAGTTGGAAGACTTTTTTGGACATTTTTTGCAAAATGGGATTAAAAAGACAGATTTGGGGTTTATTTGTGATCAGAATGGAAAGGAATTTCAGAAGGTCAGAATTACCCATGAAGTGGCAACTCCCCGTGTCAGCTGGCCCATTATTCTCCTTGTAAAGCCGGCTCCCCTTTCCTACCCCTGGGCGTTCCAGTGGTAGACAGACGGCTGGACAGCAGGATTTGCTGACACAGCAAAGGGCAGCTCTGCTCAGCTGCGTGATAGGTCCCCGTCTGTCTGGATGCAACCAGCAAGTCTTGGCCACCTCTGACCCCCCTTGCGAAGGCACGCGAAGGTGAAGCTCCTTTGACTCTTCATCAGGGCCACGTGGGTCTGAGCCGCAGACTTGCTCTGGGATTTTTAGGTGCTGACCTCACGGGTCGGGTGATGGCATGAGCTGGCATCTCCTCCCGGCTGGCCCTGGGGATGTCTGCGTGTCTGAGGCAGCCAGAGCTGCGCAGTTGGGATGATGAGGGCTCTGGTTTCTGCCTCTTGATGAACAGGCATGCCTTTTGGCCTCGCTTCACCCCCTAACCGTCCAAGAATGTCACCATCTTGCTGGAGACGTGCCTCTGCCACGCTAGCACATAGTGTTCTCCCTATTGCCTGCTGCTGTCGCTGCCCTGCCGCCCCAAGCTTTGGATCAGACGCCCAGAGAGCAAGCCTGGCTTCTCCTGGGAAGGGCTCACTGACACAGATACGCATCCAGCGTTGCTTTCCCCGAGATTTTCCCTGGGGACCAGGCTGCCCCAAGTGAGATGCTAATGCGTGTTGTTTGCAGGCTGAGCCATTGGTAATCCTCCAGAGCTTTCCCACAAGTCACTCAAGAGCCCAGAAAGACAAATTTGCCAACAGTTTAATGAGAAATTGTTATGATTCAGCATGAAGAACTCTCGGAAACACGTCAGGCAGCCCTAGGATGTGTCTGGGGGGATGAGGAATGAATCATTCAGTTCAGGGTAGTCGCTTGCACCCAAACGAGCCCAGCTTAAGAGCCTGCTCCTCCTATGCGCGCTGAAACAAATGTGTGCCTCCAAGGACCAGGGTTAAACATCGCCCGGGGCTCAGGGGG